TTAGGTTGCAGGTATGGCGGCTAGTGTAGAACCCAGGCAGACTACTTAAATTAGGTACCAAAAGTACACATGTGGCTTAATGTACCCTCATTGTAACTGTATAACCTGAAGTTAATAAGTCTAATAAAAGTCTCCAACCATAGAGGTCACTTTAATACCAAAAAAAAAAGACCAAAGATTATATTACAATCTTGCTTATATATAATGCAACTGGCAATTATAAGCTCCTTTTCCTGTTTATACACAAATACCAAACCCTCAAGCTCTCAAAAATGTAAATAAATCTACCTTATCTAAATATTATTATTGGAATAGTTTTGCTTGAATGCAGACATTAATTTTTAATCATTATATTGAACATCTTAATAATCAAATATGACTTGCTAGTCAGTCAATTCTTCTTATTTTAAATAGTATGTCAACTCATAGACTTGATGAAAATATGTTTCTGACAAATATAAAGCTTTAGTTTCTTCCTCTAAATACAATAGCACATCTTCAATCTTGTAATGCAGGGATTATTTGGAGTTTTAAAATTAGTTATTTATTATCAAAAATCAGCAATAATAGAATATTTAATGTTGAATATTTTATAATAAAGGAATTAAAATTGAAAATGAAGACCTGCGGGTCATTAGTACAGTGGTTAGTACTTCCAGATCTCAAGTTATAAGGTCATGAGTTGAATCTGACTAGGAGATATTTACTCTGCAAGGACCATAACAGAAAAATAAGATGCAAGACATAGCCATGTAAGTCACATATCACCCAGACTCCCAGATAAAGAAGAACCAAGAGCACATGTTACTTACCCAAAAAGAAAGAAGGAGTACAGAGTTTGTCACTTAGAAGATCTTGTCTAAACCCAAAATGGAAGGACGACCAAAACTTCAAGTAGGATTGATCACAGAAGAATACCCCTGGTGAACACAGAGATGGATTGAAGGACCCAAACCCATATAGTGCAGAAGCTGAAACCAAAAACACTGTCAGATAGGGCTTGTGATACTGAGGGATAATGAGGAAACAGAGTATGAAATAGGGTAGTGCATAAGTAGTTATAAAATTAATATAGGACAATCATGTAATACATGTAATACAAATATAAGAGCATAATAAATCAGAGTGCCACACGCACCCCATATGCATTCTGGCATTATAGGTAAAGTTAAAAAAAAATTAAAAATGATAAATATAAAGCATTCATTATTATCAAAAATTAATAGAAATGGGACATGCTAGTGTAATATTTTATGCTTAAATAAAAATAATATAGAAAAGAATAAGAATAAAGCATTTTATTTATTTTTATAAATCAGCAAAGGTGGGATTTGCTAATAGAATATACAATATTATATTATTATAAAAAAGAATTTGATGTTGAAAAGATAGTAAAGATCTTTATTATTATTACAAATCTGTAGTAATAGATGATGTTGGTGGGATATTTAATGTTGGATATTGTTATGATATTTTATTGGATAATTAATAACAACTTTTTGTAATACAGTATAGCTTGTCAAAACCAATGTGCATGGTGAACCAAATTTGTATCAGTTTTGACAGATTATCAGGTTTGAAGGGTAAAATTACTATATTTAATTAAGAGATGATGGATCAATTTTTTATCAGTTTTGACAGGTTATCGGTTTTGACAGTATCAGTTTTGACAGGTTATACTGTATAGGTAAATTATAAAAGAATTTTTTGTAAAGATCATATAGAAGCATTTGATACTTTTTTGAAATTTGGTAGTAATCCTCCTAAACCAATAACTATAAAAGATGCAATTGACTTTACTAATACTGCTTGGAAAAAGATATCATCTAGAACAATCTATAACTATTAGAAAAAAAAACTAGTATTTTGCTAGAAGATTTTTTTAACAAATTGTTTCTGTATAAAGAGGTTGACCAAATTAATGAACCAAATATCATTAATAAGATCCAGAATTTGATCATATGGGTGTTCTGTATTAAAAGGGCTCATTTTTATATTTTTTTTGAAAAATGAGCTTTTATTAGATTAATGTAAAATTTGATATGACAGATATTTTTCAATTATAAATGAAAGTTGATTTGCTTAATAAAAAATAGAAATAATGTAAATGAAAACCACATGAGGCTGCCTAAGATTATGAATATCATGAGATTACCCGATGGTTACTTGTTACCTTTAACTAATCAAAATTGTGAAATTTGATTAATCTCAGATCAGTTCAAAAATCAAAACAAATGATTAAACTCAATTATCTCAAAATAATATAAATATAAAAATGGGCCCTTTTAATATGAAGCATTCTATATATTTACCTTTTGACCAACCTATGAGTGTAGAAGATTATATAAATTCTGATAACAAGCTTATTACCACTGAAATATCAGATAATAGTAAGATAATCGAAGCTGTAAAAAACTATGAATGTATTAAACTAGAGGAGAAAGCTTCAAATAAGTCAATATTTTTTGCACAAGCTTTAGAATTTATTGATGGAATCTTATTGTTTTTTGAACAGCAACTAGATGGCATCTTCAAAATTGATAATACACTTATTTGCAATTTAGAAAAATTAAAATAAGAATTGAGATTGAAAAAGATTACTTTGTAATGACAAGCTATCTTGGATTTATTTGTTTTGAGCGCAGATTAACTAAATTTTTCTTTGTTTTTTGATCATTTTTTGATTTTTTTTTAAATTTTTGAATAGTTAAATTTAGATTGATGTTAGAAAAATTAAAGTGATGGTTAATTAAATGAAACATTTCATTTTTATATAGCATTGTTTAAGATAACTTAGAAGTGGGCTATGATTTGCAAGATATAAGCAGTTTTTTTTTTTCTAACTTTTTGTTTTTTTTTTGTTTGTTAAATGTAACTACTTTGATAATCCTTTTTCTTTATAGAGACTAAGCATATTTTAGCTTTGTTAAATAAAAAATATTTGGATATCATATTTTTAAAATAGCATAACTATACTAGTGTTTAAAATTTAAGATATCTATAAATTTTGGTATACTGTAGCATATATTAAGTGTATGCAAAACAAATAGTCTAAATATCTGAATTTAAAAATTTTAAATTTATATATGATATATATGCAAAGTATGTATATTGATAAAAGATGAAAATTTTTTTAATATATTTAATTCTTTTTGTATATTAACTTTAAATAATATTAAATAGGTAATTATTTACAGTCTACTGATTTATATAGAAGATAGTATTAGTAATATAAATATAAATCTATATATAAATTATATATATATTAGTTCTCTTGATATAGTGAAGATTTATATTTTTATATATTGTCTTTACTATATCAGAGGCTTTTAATATAGTGAATCTCTTGATATAGTAAAGAAAAATTTATAGCCTAATAACTTCATTATAACAAGAGTCACTTGTATTATAAAATAATTTATAAAATATAAAAAAGGTGTAATATTATATAAAATATTGCAACTATGTGTTTTGTTTACTAGCAGATATAGTACTATTTCACTGGTTTAATCTCTTAATAAAAAAATATCTAAAAATAGTTAAATAATTAGAAAAAAAATTATATATATTAAGACAAAGCTTTATACTAAAAATATACAAATATTGCAATAGTATATAATTTTTAAACCTTGGCATAAGTACAATAGTGCTATTTTGATTGTCTATTTTCACCCTTTTTTTTATACTTTTTTTTATCTTTTTTTAGTTATAATTAAATAGTATTTCTAAATTTGTTTTTTTTTATATAGTTTTAGTTTTTCTTTCTTGTATAAAAGTAAGATATATTACAAAAAAAGAAAAAATAGACAATCTTGATAGGCTAGTAGCTACTAATTATTAAGTGTCTGTTGTCTGGCTATATATAGTTTAGAAACAGAAAAAGATAAACAGCTACTGTAGCTAGTTGCTCCTGGATTCTTTACAAATTGAGTGAGTTTTTATTTAGAAGTTGAGACTTTATATATATATATATGTATAGATTAAAAGTTTATAAAAAATTTCTACTATCTTGATATAATAAAAACAAAACTTCTTAAAAAAAAGATAAAAATAAAAAATAAAACTATTTTAGACTAATTTGAACTAATTTAAATTTAATAAAAATAATTAAAATATAGCAAAGCTTTTTTAATTTTAAATTTTGAAGCCAAAACAAGTTCTAAAAAAAGTGATAATCAAAATAACAAAGCTTCAGACCAAGTTAAAAAAGTAAAACCAATTTTAAATCACTTAATTGATAATCTGCCAGTCAACAAAAAAATAAACTTAGTATGATATGATGCAAATTACTATATAAATTCAATATAGTGTAAATCTAAAAAATTTTTACTGTTTGTTCAAAGAAAACTTTTTTTGTACTAAGTTAATCGCTTTTGTAAATTAATAAAAGTTGTAAAGCTTATCCTTGTGGTTCTAATAGTGGTTAAATCATCCAAATTGGCCTTGTAGATGCCAAGATATCTTTAAAAAATATATTAACAACCATATAAAATCTCTATATAAACAATATATTCGACCTGAAACATGTCTCTTTACAGAGGTTCAAAATGTTGTTTATTAATAAATCAACATGTCAATTATTTTAATTTTTATATAAAAAATCCATGTTTGTAAAATATATCTTTATAATTTGCGTGTTGCTTCACCAACATTTTTTAAGTTAAAACTATACCCAAGATCTTTATTTATTAAACCAAAAAAATCTCAATCTTGAATCTTTTGTAGTTCAAAGATTTTCAAATGAAGTTAAAGTATTTAACCCCTGTAATATTATGATTTATAGATATAATATACTTAATAGTAGTTATTTTTCTAATTGCAGTTGTTTAATAACTAATGGTCAACTAACAAGTTATTTCAAATATGCCAATATTCTATTTTGAGTATCTTAACTGCTAATTAGTTCAACAGCTATAGCTAAAACTTATTTATTAAGCTAAATAAGCTTTTTTTCTAAATTTTTGTAGCTTGAAGATCTTTGCCTAAGCTAGCACTCTAATTCTATATATGATCTAAACAAATACAGATAAGTTTTAACCATCAAAATTACTCACCAACATGCTGGTTTATTTATAAATAATTACTAATAACTTTCTCCTTAGTATATAATGAGATGTAAGTAGAAAATAGCTTCAAGTACTATGTAATAGCAAAATTGATGAAAAAAAGTGAAACAAAAATAGCGAAAAAAACCATGTTAACTTCAAATATTAGAGAAAATATATGAGCTAACTCAGACACAGTTGCTAATAGACATCTTAGTATTTGATGAATTTCATTTCAAAAAGATTAGAAAAGGTGCACATTGCAATAATCAATATAAAACACCTAAAGTTTGATGCTTAACATGTAATTCTTAGAGAATAGCTCAAGGATAGATAAATAGAAATAAGCTATTGATAATTGCATTAAAGGTTTTCAATTTATATTCATATAATATGAAAATGTAATCGAATAGATTCCTTTTAATAGATTAAATAATATTTAAAAAGACAATAATTTTAGTTAGATGATATATGAATAATTTCTAATAAATGCAATAAATAAGTGGCTTATTGGAAAAGGCCAAATAAAATCTATATTTATTTTGTATAACTTTATTTTGTGTGCTTATAAATTATATTCACTTATTTAAGAACTAAATATATTTTGAATAGGGTTCTGCAAGTGCCGGGCATAGTGCTGAAAAAAACATAATACCCAGCATGCAGGCACTATGTTTTTTCAGCACTATGCCTAGCACTTGCAGAACTCTAATCTTGAATAATTCTTATTTTAAAAGAAGTAGTTCAAATAGAAAATTTGTACAATGCAATTGACATATATATCTAAGGCCTGTTGACAAGTATATGATTCTCAAAGAGCTCAAGGATGCACGAGTGAAAATAATATTGCTTTAAAAGATTTCAACTTAAATAAGAATGTGGCCGGGTGAATTTTTTTTAATAAATTAAATAATATTTAAAAAATAGTAATGAATTTTCAACAAATTGATTAGATAGTATATGAATAATTTCTTTAAATTTTGACTCGATTTTGTATTTGTTTAGAATACAAAGTTTATTCTAATTCTTTATTAGCATTATACACTATCCAGAACTAATACCATATTATTTATTTTTATTGTAAAAAACTTCAATCTTTAATAAAATCCTTTATTTATGATAAATAAATAATCATAAATACAATATGTATTATAGTTTTAAAACATTGATATGTAGTAAGTTATCTGCTTAATCTATAAATAGGTATAAAAACCTGACTCAATAAAACTATCAACTTAAATGATTGAATTGTAAAAAAATAGTATACTGAAATGAAGTACTAATTTTGCCAAAAATAATAATAATAATAATAAATAAATATAATTGGCATACATATATTAAAGATACTCAGAAAAAACTTATAGCATGACAGGTAAAAGTAGAGAACAGCTTGCAAATTTAAATAATTAATTAATATTGGCTAAATTATCTAAAAAAAAATTATCTAGTAAACTTACCAAATGACAGACAAAGTTGAATTACTTGTGAACTTGAGTAAATAATCAATTGAAAGTGAAGCATACAACTACAGTAATATACAAAACCAACTGTCTTTAATAAAAAACTCAATATATAAAGTTTAATTACTAATATTATAGTATCTTTAATACAAAATGTAAAGCATATCAAATAAGAGTTGAGAGTTGAGAATTATAGTCTATTTTAATAATTTCAATATAAAACAAAATCGAATTAAATATACAATATACTCATCTTAGTAGACAAAATATTTATATAGATCTTTGCCAAATCAAACTGCAGAGTATATTGTATTACCTATATATTTTAAATTTACTATTTTTTTTTTTTTTTTTTTTTTTAAAAATGCGAAATGGCATACTTTATTTAAGTCTATAATTACATCAATTAACTAAGTATTTACAATTAAGAAAAGGTTTATATTTCTATAACTAGAAAGCGAGTTAGCTTCTCCTTGGATTTGCTTTTGTGAATTCTATTTAAAACTTAAAGACTTTTTTGTAGCCTAGTCTTGGCCACCTTTTTTACAACTTCTTTACCTATTATGTTGTTTCCCCAATGGGCCTGAGTATACTAGTACTATACTTCATACAAGATATTAATATGTAGCCATATTGTGGCCTTTCTTCTACTATTATTTAGTATGTTCAGTGCTGTAAATATCTCTCCAAACATTGTGGGGTTGTAACCGATGATGAATTCTTCAAATGCAGATACCCTATTTCTCAAATTATATGGCTAATATTATATCTCAGAGCAAAGTGTTCTATTGTTTGCCTATCCTTTAGGTAACTAGAGCAGCTTCTATCTATATTTTTATCTATGTGTCTAAGTCGATAACCTAAGAGAAGCACTTTGTTTTGCAATCACCAAAAAATATCTTTCTTTTTATTCGTTAACCCTTTGCTTTTTGACTAACTAAAAGGGTCTGAGTGGTTCTCTTGTAGGCATAGTGAGACCTGTACTGTTGTAGGTTGTCTTAAAAGTTGTCTTAAGAAACTTGTTGCCTTTTGGATGGTAAATTGGTCACCAGATTTGTTATATATTTTGATTTGTGTGGTTTCCCAGAGCTAATTGTTGGGTGATAATGCTAAACCTTTTAGCCTTTTTCATGCCGTTAATAAGGTTGCCATTCTTCTGGCCATTTCTTGAGTTTAATTGGAGGTCTTGTTAGTACTGCTACTATTGATATATTTCTTTTGTCTTGTATTCTTTGTGAGATTAAGGTTTGTTCAACTTTGGCCCAAAAGCTGTTGGCTGTTAGAAGCTTTATCCAAATGGAGCAGAGTCTAGCATCAAGAGTGTTCTTTAGAATTAAAGCATTTAATTCTTATCTATTATAGTCTAACTGAAAAACTAAATAAAAAAGACGATCTTCATAACTCTTTCCTGTACACATTCGGCAGGAAAAGAGATTTTATTAAAAACAAGATAACTACTTTACGAAGAAAGGAAAACTCATCTAAGCTACAAGTAACAAGGGCTAAAGCCCTTGTTCCACTAAAAAGAAAACACAACCAAGCAGTTTCTTTAAATCAAATACATAAAAAACGCAAAATGTTTGACTTGACAGACAGGACCACCAACAACGAAGACTCAACGGGAGCTTTCTTGTCTAAATCTAAACCAACAGATACAAATACAAACATAGACTACAAGCTTAACAAAATTACAAATGCAAGTTCACAAATAAGCAACAAAGAAAGTTGGGCTGACTTGACAGAACAAGAAAACCCTTGGCTACTTTCAGACACGTCTCAACAAAAAGACAACAACAATACACAAAACAACAAAACAAAACACGTGTTTGGGGAAAACACGGAAAACTCAGATCCTTCACGTGATCCAGCCAATCACTCCGGAATAAACTTCTCTGATGAAAATCCATATCATCATCTCTTAACAAAAGATACAACACAGCGCACTAGTGACAAAAAATCTGAGAACACTCCCTCGAAGCAATGGGCAGACCTCTTCCCCAAACTAAGAAGAGGACGTGCAACCTACTCAACATACTCTCCAAGAGAGCAAATTAAGTCCAAGAATGACAATGCTCTTGTCATTGATATCTCTCAAATGCTAAGCTCCTTTAACGAAATCACTGCTTCATTATATGAAAATGCTAAAAATGATATTGTAGCAATTAAACAACACCTTAAAAAAGGCTCACGCTCCCAGC